ACTTATACCTGGTAGACAGACGTTTCACTATTGAGACAGTTCAAACCAAGACGGTTCACACCAAAACGTTTCACTCCCAAATGGGTGAAGACGTTTCACTCCCTTTTTATACCAAAATTATTTTGATACCTATGATATACTAAAATAGACCTAAAATATTGAATTGAATTGAACTAAAATAGACCTTTAATTTAATTAAAAAAAATAAAAAAGGGGGGTTTAACTTTTTTGTCAATGACTTAAAACTCAGTACTTTAAGTTATATCATTTCAGTTATCTTATCTTCTTTATTGTTGTTTTGAAGTAATGTGTTTTTCTATTCTTTGATCCATATGTGCAATTATCACATTATTTCAATTAAAGAAAAAATCTTTTTGATTAAAATAACACTTTAATATATAATATATAACTATTTGATCTTTTGTAAGCATGGACTCAATAAGCAATTTTAATTTAAAGCATAATCTTGTGACAACAATTAACTTTGAGTAACGTGTTTTTGTTGTTAATTTTAAACATGGGATAAAAAATTGTTAAATTATTTAATGCTAGTATAATGCTTTTGCTATATATATGTCAAAAATTTTAATGTCCGTTGAAGTCAGAAGAATGACAGACTATTCTCTCCATTACCAGTTCCTCCCCCCCTGACAGTTCTCTCCCAAACGGTTTCCTCCCCTGACTATTCTCTCCCAAATTTGTAATATGCAGAAAGATCTCCTCCAATTTCATTTTTATAAGTTATCATTTTAGATTTGACTTAATCTAATAACATTTCTTAATGAATATTATTAAAAGAATGTGTTTAATATTAAGTGCATTTTATGTTTATCAGAAAAGTGTTTGTAAATTTAACACCTTTTTCTGGAATTTTAATCCTATCAACACCTTCATTGTGATCGAGAGATTAAGATAATTGGAATGCGATTGATGCACCTGTAAAATTTCATGTTAAGGTCTAGTGATATTTATTTATTTGTTAAATAGCAAATAGCATGGTAACAAGTATGTTCTAGAAAATAAATAAGCAACAACTGGTATGCAATCACATTTCACATTTACTTTTCAACAAAATTGATTAAAGGAAATGTAGACATTCACATGAAACAATATATTAAACCAAATAATAAATAAAAATTCTTATTAGTCAACACCTTTTCACAGCTATTTTAATCTAATCAACACCTTGATTCTTGAGTAATGAATACATAAACATCTCAATTATCTCTGACAGCAAACTTGGTGAACATGTGTATTGAACACATTTCTTGAATCTTCATTATACAAGAGTATGAAATTTAGGTATTAAAATGCATTAATCATTTTTTCTTATAATTTTTTTTTTCTTATTTATAAAACAAATAAATAAAATAAATACAAAATGATTCATTTATTATTTTCAATTACTAAACACATTAAAAAGCATACATTAGATCTAATTAAAAAAATCAGAATAATTTATGCTAAAATATTTTCTTTTCTAATTTATATCAATTAATAATAAACTTACCCATTTATTAAATATCTAAATACTTCAATAAAGTATTTTTTCTCTTATTTATAACAATAATAACCTATCCATTTATTAAAAATCTTAATACTTCAATACAATATTATTTGTTTCTAATTTACATCAATTAATAATAAACTTACTCATTTGTCAAACATCTAAATACTTCAATACAATTTTTTTCTCTAATTTATATTGATTTCAATTAATAATAAATGTACCCATTTATTTAATATATAAATACTTAAATAAAATACTTTTTTTTATTCATATCAATTAAAATTAAATTTTCCCTTTATTTAACATCTAAATACTCCAATAATAATGCATTTATAAAAATAAAAATGGGGAGGAACTGTCTGCTTATTTGCAAATATGCAGACGGTTCTCCCCAAAAATAGGGAGAGAACCGTCAGGGAGGAAACGTCAGGGGAGGAACTGGTAAGGGAGAGAATAGTATGACTACCAAGTCAGAAATATCTTTAAATTAAATAAGAAGCATTGGGACTTTTGCAATGTTTGTCATGTATAATCATTTTTTTGTATCTTAAATTAATTATTATATACACAAAACTTACCCATATGATAAGTTTCTGTGTTAAAATTGGCTGTTGTCAAAAAATTTCCTTTTTACACTGTTTTATATTAATGATATTAAAATTTGTTCACTTCCCTAGTAAACATCTCTAAAAATTGGGAGTGAAACGTCCATACAATTGATAAAATGGGAGTGAAACGTCTAAGTGTGAACCGTCTTGGGAGTGAAACGTCTCAATAGTGAAACGTCTTGGGAGTGAAACGTCTGACATTCATTATACCTTGAGATATCAAGTATGTATAGAACTTGAATAAATAACTTCACTTTCCTGGAGCTTGAGGTCTCTGTGGCCGATGATGAGAAATATATGTTTGCAATTTTATATGATTATAATTGCTAACGAGCAGTTGCAAACAAAACATCAGGTGAGCGAAAAATATGACAAGGGCCAACAGTGATGACATGTGTCGCCTCATGTTAGCCAATTGCATGTTGCAGCTACTGTGTCGCAGGATGACCAAAAATCATTAAAAGGGCAAAACAAATTTTTATTCAAGGCCCATAACTCTGCTGAAAATCCTTTAACCGGAAAACCTGTGTAATATGTGCAAGTACTTAAGCTACCAATCAATGCTGTAGTTTCATTAAAATTGCATAAGTGGTATAAGAGGAGTAGTCCGGACAAATTTTAATAATTGAAATTATTAAATGGATGTTACCCTGACAATAATCATTAAATCGAAAACTGTTGATGAGATGCACAACTAGACATAGTGCGGTTATTCCTGTTAAGTTTTGATGAAAATGCACAAGCCCTGAAAAGTAGTACAAGCAAGTAGCTGGCAACACAAACAAGAGCTGTCACAGGAGACAGCGAAGCTCGACTAATGAAATACTGGACGCAGTAAGGAGGACAAAACTATGAAAGGAAAATCAATTATGTATAATTATGTATTAAGTTATAGTAAAAAAATAATATTTGTTAACATAAATTCAAAGATCAAGGGGAGTAATTCTAGAAATAGTCATGCTAGAGTTATGGACCTTGTCACACAACATTTGTGTAATGATAAGAAATATATATTTGAAGTTTGAAGTAGATACCTTAAAAAATAAAGAAGTTATTGTATTTCTTAAAGAAAATCCTAAGTTCAAAGAGAGATAAATCTGTAAATATTGCTTCAAGAGTTATGAACATTGTCACATAAAATGTAATTGATGATAAGGAATAAGTATTTGAAGTTTGAGGTAGATACCTTTAAAAATAAAAAAGTTATAATAAAAAATAAAATTTTTCTAGTAAAAAAATCTAAGTTTATGGGGAGATAATTCTTGCAATATTGGTGCTAGAGTTATGAACCTTGTCACATAAGATGTGGATGAGGATAACGTAAATATATTTGAAGTATGAAGTTGATCCCTTTAGAAATATAAAAGTAACAGTAAAAAATAATATTTTTTATGGAAAATTTTAAGTTCAAAGGGAGATAAATCTGAAAATATTGGTGCTAGAGTTATGAACCTTGTCACATAAGATGAAGATGATGATAATGTAAAATAATTTGAAGTATGAGGTTGATCCCTTAAGAAATAAAGAAGAAACAGTAAGAAATAGTACTTTTTGAGGAAAATTCTAAGTTCAAGGGGAGATAAATCTGAAAATATTTGTGCTAGAGTTATAACCCTTGTCACATAAGATTGGGATGATGATAAGGTACATATATTTGAAGTATGAGGTTGATCCCTTAAGAAATAAAGAAGTAACAGTAAAAAATAGTATTTTTTAAGGAAAATTCTAAGTTCAAGGGGAGATAAATCTGAAAATATTGGTGCTAGAGTAATGAACCTTGTCACATAAGATGTGGTTGATGATAAGGAACATATATTTGAAGTTTGAAGTTGATACCTTAAGAAATGACAAAGTTATAGTGAAAAATATTTTACTGCACCAAAACTTTAATCTAAAATCTGGACGCGGACGCGGACGCCGACGCCGACGCCGGGGCGAGTAGGACAGCTCTCCATATACTTCGTATAGTCGAGCTAAAAAGACACCTTTTTTATTGAAGGGCCGTTACATTGCCAAACATCATGTAAGTGGAAAACTTGTGTTATATGCACAAGTAATTGAGCTACAAAACAATCCTGTAAAGTTTAAATGAAATAGCATAAGTGGTATGAGAGAAGTATTCCGGACAAACTTTATTAACATCTTTTTTTTAGGGTCTTAACTCCGCCAAATATCATTCAAGCAGAACACCAGTGCAATATAATCAATCCTGCCAAGTTTGAATGAAATTGCATTAGAAATATAAGAGGAGTAGTCCAGACAAACGTTGAAAATAAAAATAATGTAAGTGCAATAACTCTGACAAAAATCAATGAACCAAAACAAAAAGCCGATGAGATGCACAACTAGACTTGGTACTGACTATTCCTGTGAAGTTTGGATGGAATTTCACCAGTTCACAAATTTTCACTAGGTAGTAAGTAGTTCGGACAAGATTCTGTGTAGCTGGCAACACACAAAAACTCTTTTTTTTCAAGGGCCATAACTCCGCCAAAAATCATTCAATCGAAAAACCCGTGTGTGTAATATGCGCAAGTACTTGCAATGAAATTGATTGGATGATATAGGAGAATGGTTCGCACAAACTTTAAAAATAAAAATCATTAAAGGGCCATGACTGACAGAACTCATTGAACTCAAATGCCGACGATATGCACAACTCGACTTGGTACTGATCATTCTCATAAGTTTGGAAGAAATTGCACCAGTAATTTCTGAGGAAGAGTCCGGACAAGTTTTGCCACAGATGGACAGATGGATAGACAGACGGTGGAGAAGTGATTCCCATATGTCGCCACTACTCCGTAGAGGCAGCACAAAAATGGTTCTCTATTTATGGAATTAATTTATTCTAATTGTAAAGAAAAGATAATGCATAGTACCTTGGTGTTTGCTCTGGTTCCTGTGCTGAATCATCTGAAAATAAATGCATGATAGAAATCTTCACAAGGAACAAACGTATCAAATATTATATAAAAAGGACAAATTAATGATCAAATTATAATTACTTCTTTATAAGTCAACATCAGCAAACATAGACTCTTGGGTAAAGTGTTTGATGTCAATTTTGGAGTAAAATTGTTTATTAATTGTATTGCAAAGATGACAATTAAATAACAAACGTTTTTGTACATGTTTCAATAAAGAAATATAACCAAATACGTGTAAATAACAATAGATCTTTATCCGTAACGATCGATTTTTAAGATTTTGTTCAGTACAAAAATCGATCCTCCCCTTTCTAATATTTATATATTTTTATCCCTTATATCAAGCGTCAAATAATTGTAATGTGTGTCAGTTGGCTTTGATATTGTTGAACAAACTCAATCAGTGCGAGCGTATATGTGTGTGTTCATGTTTGTTTATACAAATGAACCTGTCGGTCATAACGCATGATTAATCAGAAATTTGTAATAAACGAACTTAATTGACCTTATAATTTCTAAAAGCTTAAAGCAGATTACATCATTATACGAGCAGGTTAAAGCCCTACACACCTGTATTTGAAGAGCTCGGGTTCTCGGGTTGGGGAGATACTGGCTCTTCTTTTACAACATTGACCAAAGCATTATCTGGTAGCCTTACTCTGTGATTCAGTAGAGCATGGCTGGAAATATTCTTTATAACCTTTTGGAAGAAACTTGATTCACAGGTAACTATCACATTCAGCAGTCCTTTGATTACAGCTGCATAGATTATATCAAATTTGTTGAGCCAAGCCTCGACAAAGGAAGTATTATACTTGTATTTGCCTGCAAATTCGTCAATGACAATAACACTGACTTTCCCAAGTCTCACTTGTTTCCAGTCACTGGCCTCTGTAAGTATAACGCATTCATCTTTGCTGTACAGTTTTGAAACCAATTTCAATGCAAATCTTGTGGATGTACCACCCTTTGATCCTGTAATAACAATCGCTTTATGTTTCGTAAACATTTCCTTCGCTTGTTTCATAAGCTCGTTATGGCCAGAAGCGTCTGTTTTGCAGTCTTGAATGAATACTTCGGATTGTGCTGAAGAATGAATACGGAAATATGAAAATATTGACCAAATGATTTTTTTTTCAACTTTCTTTTTAGAATTATTTTTCAATGAAACGTTATTAAACAAGATATACTAATGTTATACATTAAAACATACCTATCATATTTCCAAGAAAGCCACCAACATCATGTCTCTTATCTGCTGTGTTTCCTAAAAAAGTAATGAAATAGTTTTCATAATTCAAACACCTTGCTAACAGTTTTTTTTAAATTCACCTTTTTGCGACTTTCTTATTGAATGAACGCCGTGCTTTTGCGTTCTGTGAAATTGTTGTTTATTTTTTTGCTGTCTTAAAATTGCCAAAGAAAACATTATTAAGTTAACCCATGCTAGAGCTAGATAATTGTTTTAATATTTCAGCAAATTATGACATTATGTGTGTTTATTACGTAACTTTGACTCTCTGGGAGTAATTCTACAGCTATAAAGATAAAACACGCTTAAAAAAGCTTTTTGCAATCAACGGTCTTTCATAACATCCAAGACTATATTGTTTTTTCTAATCTAAAAAGAGTGTAAACACTTCTTTCAAAGTCTAATACCAGGATATGATTTTTCTTTCAATTCTTTGTTAACAAATGCGTATTATTATATTAAACAAGAGCTGTCGGTAGGACAGCAACGCTCGACTATTCTTAGTGCTTGATTGTAAAAAATGCTTGATACAGTTACCTCCTCCAGTTTACAGGTTGGGATAATGATGGTGAACAAGTGTGCAAAGTTTCAAAGCCATATGTCAATGGACTTTGAAAATATTTGAGGTATTACAAAAACTTTAACATAAATTCTAAGTCAAAAAAGGGGCATAATTCTGTCAAAATGATTGATACAGTTACCTCCTCCTGTTTACAGGTTGGGATAATGATGGTGAACAAGTGTGCAAAGTTTCAAAGCCATATGTCAATGGACTTTGAAAATATTTGAGGTATTACAAAAACTTTAACATAAATTCTAAGTCAAAAAAGGGGCATAATTCTGTCAAAATGATTGATACAGTTACCTTCTCCTGTTTACGGGTTGGGGTAATTATGGTGAACAAGTGTGCAAAGTTTAAAAGCCATAGGTCAATGGACTTTGAAAATATTTGAACTATTACAAAAACTTAAACGTAAATACTAAGTCGAAAAAGGGGCATTATTCTGTCAAAATGCTTGACAGAGTTACCTCCTCCTGTTTACGGGTTGGGGTAATAATTGGTGAAAAAGTGTGCAAAGTTTCAAAGCCATATGTCAATGGACTTTGAAAATATTTGAACTATTACAAAAACTTTAAAGTAAATTCTAAGTCGAAAAAGGGGCATAATTCTGTCAAAATGCTTGATACAGTTACCTCCTCCTGTTTACAGGTTGGGGTAATGATGGTGAACAAGTGTGCAAAGTTTCAAAGCCATATGTCAATGGACTTCGAAAATATTTAAACGTTTACAAAAACTTTAACATAAGTGGTTACGCCGACGCCGACGCGGACGCCGACGCTCGGGTGACTACAATAGCTCTACTTATTCTTATCGATTAGTCGAGCTAAAAAAGCGACATCAGTGATGACATGTGTCGCCAATTGTATGTTGAAGATGAGACCCAAAAATCATTAACAGGGCAAAGCTCATTTTTCATTCAAGGCCCATTACTCAGCTGAAAATCCTTCAATCGGTAAACCCGTATAACATGTGCAAGTACTTGAGCTACCGATCAATCCTGTAAAGTTTCATTTAAAATTGTATAAGCGTATTTATAAGAGGAGTAGTCCGGACAAATTTTAAAAATTAAGATCATTAAAGGCACATTTATCTAACAAAAATAATTATATCGAAAACACTTGATGAGATGCACAACTATACATAGTATATGTAATTTTGGTTTGGAGTGATATATGTGTCAAGATTTTATATCACCCGAGCCGTTAGGCCGTGTTAGAACCGAAACAATATATCCAAATCGGTGATTTTATCCCATGATAAAATCACTGTTTGTTGTTCAGATGCGCTTTATTATATCAATCGGGCTACGCCCTCGTGATATAATTCCTGGCATCCGAACTCTAAACAGTGATTTTATTGAGCGATAAAATCACAGTTTGGAATACAGTATTTTATTTCTTTAATAAAACACTATAGTTGAACAGGTGTTGTATTCAATGATCTCTCCAAACCCTTGTTGGTTTTATAATACCTTGCTGAAAATAAAAGATACTGAGTAAAATGTTTATTATACAAATGTAATATCAAAAATAAAATTTACGTTTTTCAAGATTCAGTGGGTTGTTTTCATCAGTCGGCATAAACACCTTGACAACGTTATTGAAGATCTCATTATTGTCATGATTCTCCTTCCAATGGTTGATCCTTGAGATTTCGGAGACTATCACAACATCAATTCTAGATTCCTTGCTTGTATCATCTAGCATGCTTTCGAATACTTGTTGTAAGCGAGGCTCATTCTGTTGCTCTGCGAAAGGTTCGGAGAATAGAACAAGATCTGTTTCGTACGGATCGATTCTATTCCAGTCTTCAACTATTTTCATTTCAAAGCATCTATCTAAAGAGTATTTTCCCGACCCATTTATCGCCGATAAAGTTGTAGCTAGGTAACTGGTGTTTTCGGAGCCAGTAACTACTACAAAGTGGTGTTCCTGAAGGTGACGCATTATTTCACGTTCTTCTTCCGGTTGACATTTAAAATCTTTTGGTAGTTCCCTGTCTATAGTTTGTCTAAAATAATCTATAAAAAACAAATTTAATGCAGCGTATGCAGAGTCCTCATAACTTAAAAAATAAATATATGAATTATTTTTTATCTTTATTCTTTTAGGTCATGGTTATGAAATCTGTTCTGTTCAGTACTGTGTATATGTCTCAAAAAGATAACAAGCAAGTACTTCAGAAGCTCTTACAGTTGCATGTCTCCAGATGAGCCAAATGTTTTAAGAAAATCAAACTTAAGAATTATGTTCCTAGATTTTAAGAAAAGTTTAAAAGAATCAAGATTCAAGTAATAATGTACATGTCTTGTGCATTTAATTACTTATTTTGCAGCATTTTCCTACTGCGTGATTAACGCAGTAAGGGCAATTTTAACATAGATTGACCTTTTCTTAGTACATGTGTAGTAATTTACAAACATGTTTGTCGAGTGAAAGTGCCGTTTGTATTGTGTATTTTTTATGTTCACTTAACAAACTTTTACTTTTGAGATAAAATTTTCATGAAAATTAGTATGAATTTTGAGTTATGCTGCTTTAAACGCAAATTAAGTTCTTTGTCTAGAAAATTTGAATATTCTTCATTTGTTCTTAGATGATTATATTAATATGTTTAGGAATGCGTATCTGAATTAGAATTCAACAAATGTGACAAAAATGTTCATGTTGCATGTTTTTATTCATTCTAGTGTTACTTTAAATATTATTGCCGAGAAATTAATTTCTTCGTGACAATTGATCTGTTGGGCAGAAATCATGTGGGATTTGCAGAAAGACACCCGATTGACGTGCTAAACAAACAAACAAATATGCTTTCGCTCATTTTGCTTTTTCAAACTTTTTTAAAATTCAGCAAAAACATAATTTAAGTAATTGCATATTAAAATTTTTGAAACGTATGCATACGTTCTCACAATTCTCAAATTTCTTAATCATTCAAGTTAGCCTAATTCAAGTTACCAGAGGTCATTAACCATATATAAATAAAAATACATTTTGAGAGGGTTTATCCTACGAGACAGTTTATTATAACAAATATACATTAATTATTTCGATTTGCTAAATAGATATTTCTAGTTGTTTTCTATGTCTGTAGCAACTCCGCATTGTAATTTAAACTATTCAGCAATGATGTCATCTCTTATCTACTACAATTAATGCACAGGGAACTATTCAATTGTCTTCGAAATGTATGCATTTCCTCTCATTTATTAATTATTGTACACAAACTAACTAAAGGACATATCGTAGCATTATTCATGTGCTGATATTATATTATTACAAAAAAATATAACTTGTAAAAATATTTTTGTGCCTTTAGAATTAAATAGTTTATTCCCTGCGGTCTGAAGACCGCAGGGTATTGGTACGCGTATAACTTTTGAGGCATGGAAGAGCACGTGACCTGTTTTCGGTACATGGAGGAGCATGTGACCTGTAAACCGTACACGATTGGTTAATTGACCTTTTCGAAAACATAGCTAAATACCGTTTGCCGGTACGTTACGGATTTACCTCTAGGGAATTAGTCCGAATTACACCTAATTAACAACAAAAAACTATTACTTGATATTTCTTATTTTCTATAATTATTTAACCGTTTAATGTGGAAAAACTTGAATGATGTGTTTGAAAATTATCAATGTTTCTTTAATCTCAAATTTTACAAACAATAAATTGTTTTACTGAAAATCTACAAAAAATATTTGTAGTGAAATCTGCCATACTTAATAGAGATATTTTCTGCGTAAACTTGTGTGTTTACTTTATTTTGTCTCGGAATTATTCACAAAATGGTATTTTGATCATTTTCTAAAAAGGAAATAATTGTTTCTGTTCGACCTTCTCCGATCTCAGTTCTTCAACGGTCCCCGGTTTCCAAAAGACCTTCTTCTATATTGATCGATTATTGTCAACTTTATTCCTGGTAAACCGTTTATGTATCCCCCCAAACAATGTTGGAAATAGTTAAATGAAATATCTTTATATCATTAAAAAATGATCCCCGCAGGAAAACATTTTACTTGTTTGTTTGATTGATAGAGATTTTTTGTCGCACCGACACAGTATAGGTCATGTGGCGAGTTCCAGCTTTACTGGTGGAGGAATTGAAGAGACTGAAGGTTTTGCTTACCTCTTAATCTGTTCAAGTGTACATCTACAGTTTTTACATATTTTCTAGCTTTCCTCCCTGTAAGTTGAAATTATGGACTTGTAATTATTATATACAAAAATATGACAGGGACAAGAGACATTTTCAAGTTAAATTATCATTAATAATTAATATTTAAATGAAAACAAAGATACTTTACTATGTATTTGTTTCGTCTTGTAGTTCACGAAGTTATAAAGCAGAGAATGTTTAGTTTTTATTAACGAAGTTGAATCTTTGTACTGACTAGGACTGTAATCAAACAGATTATGTAACACCACATTAGTAACTAAATTAGCTACCTTTCGAAATGGGTCTTTTCTGAGAAACACCTTGAAGAATCCGTAAAGCTGATTTAGATGTTTTCTTAACTTTTACAGTTTCTTCCTTGAGTTCTTTGATTTCGTTCTTAAGTTCAATTATGATATCTTCATACCAGCTTTTGAGTGTATCGCCTAGACTTGGAAGATTATTGACCTTTACTGCTTGAATTTGTTTTGTTACTTCATTTTCAAACGTTGTTCCACCAACTATCCGTGCTAAAGTTTGTGTCGCAGTTTCAATATCGTTCCAATCTGAATCGAATTCGGCATCATCTGTGATAACGCTTCCCGGCTTGTGCTGCAGTTTGTTGCGTTTTTCACGAATTACTTTAATCAACCTATCTTCACCGTTATTTATCTGATTCTCAAAAAGTCCAAGCAAAAGAGCTGATAGTAATGTTACGTCCCATTTCGTCTCGTCAGCCTTTGGATATATCAAATCATACTGATCTCTCCGTATAGATTTTTGAGGATTTTTGAAGTTCAAGAGTGTTTTAACATCTCTATGTCGGTATACCATATACTGGTCAAGCGTTGTGAAAGGGACACATGAACTTGTATCAGACTTCGCTAAGTCAAGGAAATATTTCCTCAAAGGTATTGGGCAAATGTCAGTAATAAGAGTAATTAACCTGTAGTCTTTGTCTTTTGAATCCATGATTTTTTTTTAGGATTGATACTTCAAGTTGTCTTTTCTACAACATGTTTGATAACTCTAAAAAATAAAAAAGCTTATTCATATAATAACACTTAAAATGAATACAGTCAAACGACACTTAAAATCAACATTTATAAGCAAACAATCCTTAAATAATATAAACAAGTGACGCTTTAAATTGACACAAGGGCCATCAACACTGCAAAACACAATTTTATTTAAGGGCCATAACTTGGCTAAAAATCCTTCAACCGGAAAACCCGTATGCGCAAGTACTCGAGCTACCAATCAATCCTGTAAAGTTTCATTGAAAATGCATTTGTGATATAAGAGTAGTCCGTACAAATTTTAAAAATTAAAACCATTAAAGGGACATAATTCTGACAAAAATCATTAAATCAATCAAAGGGCTGCAAGCTCTGAGGTATTTTCTGATCTTTGCAATCTAAATCGTACTGTATATCAGTATGTATTTTCCTGTATAAGTTTATTTTTAAATATCATAATTCATCTTACAGGGCATTGAGATGCAGCGACTGCGTTTAGATTTTTACTAAAACAGTTTGAGTTTGATACATACGGGAGCATGACTAGAGTTGCATCATTTATGTTCATTTTTTATGAAAGCCAACCTTTATCCTTCCATATCGTAACTACTTCCTTAAAAAAGACACTTTAAAAAAATAGTTGCCTCGCCTGGGATTTGAACCCAAGACCTCTTACACCCTAAACGAGCGCGTTACCCCTGCACCACGGGGAATTACTCCAAGCACCACATGCAATAATACGAAGGAAGCTTGAAAAAAAAAATCAAATAATTCTAAATTTATAATTTCCATGTCGGGTGTGTAATACGAGGTATTTTGTTCACGATAAACCTATTGTTTAACACTGATGTAAATCAGTCCGACATGTATATATTCCACTACTCGACAGTCAGATTTATTTGTGTAGTGTTCGGTAATTGACATCGCTTAAAATAGCATTTTCATTGATTACATTGATATCCATCCGCGTATTTTGTGGTTGTGCATTTATTGCCAATTCTATAAGCCAACGCTACTTTTAAACTTTGAATGCGTTGTAATTTGTTGGATACTTGTTACAAAATAATAAAATTTCTTTCTTTCAAATCGCTAGTTTAAAGCTGTTTTGAGAACTACTTGTTGTTAGGTTTGTCGTGAAATTCTGTGCCAGAGATTCAATGTCAGCATTTATATTTTGCTGTGCATCTCATCAACATTTTTGTATTTTCTGATCGCAGAACAAAATATAGTATTGATCATTTCTATAAAGTCTTGATGAAACTGCACAAATAGCTTTTGAAGAGTAGTCCAAACAAGTGGCTGGTGACTCAAAAAAAAACAAGAGCCACCACCGGGCGGGAGTAACGCTCGACTTTTTCCTTTTTCTAAAAGCAAACACAGAAAGGTTTGAACATATCTTAACGTTTCCTTTTTTATAAATTTAGTCGGTCTGTCTTGTCACATTAGTTTTGTTTATCTATTTTGTATATATATATATATATATATATATATATATATATATATATATATATATATATATATATATATATATATATATATATATATATATATATATATATATATATATGAATAGAAACTATCAGTTCTATAAATAGAAACACGCAATTCTCAAAATAGAAACACGCAATTCTATGAATAGTAACATGCAATTTTAAAAATAGAAACAAACAATTCTACAAAAAGTAACACGCAATTCAAAAAATAGTAACACGCAATTTCTATAAATAATAACACGCAAATTCTAAAAAAACAACACACAATTCCAAAAATAGAAACACGCAATTCTAAAAATAGTAACACGCAATTCTATAAATAGAAACATGCAATTCTATAAATAGAAACACACAATTCTAAAAATAGAAACACGCATTTCTAAAAATAGAAACACTCAATTCTAAAAATAGTAACACGCAATTCTATAAATAGAAACACGCAATTCTAAAAATAGAAACACACGATTCTAAAAATAGAAATACGCAATTCTAAAAATAGAAACACGCAATTTTATTAAATAGAAACTAAAGGATTCTAAAAATAGAAACACGCAATTCTAAAAATAGAAACAATCAATTCTAAAAATAGTAACATGCAATTCTATAAATAGAAACACGCAATTCTAAAAACAACAACACGCAATTCTATAAATAGTAATACGCAATTCTAAAAATAGAAACACGCAATTCTTATAATAGTAACACGCAATTCAAAAAAATAGTAACACGCAATTTCTATCAATATTAACAAGCAATTTCTTAAAATAGAAACACGCAATTCTAAAAATAGAAACACAGAATTCTATAAATGGCAACACGCAATTCTAAAAATAGAAACACGCAATTCTAAAAATAGAAACACGCAATTCTTTAAATAGTAACACGCAGTTCTATAAATAGTAACATGCAATTCATTCTATAAATAGTAACATGCAATTCTAAAAATAGTAACACGCAATTCTATAAATAGTAACACGCAATTCTAACAAGAGGGCCATGATGGCCCTGAGGTCGCTCACTTGTTTATAGGCCCCCAACCCCCGTCCCCCCCCCAACGTTGCAGGGCCAATTTAACCCAAGGTCTTTTATTTGCACAAACTTGGTAGACACCCATAAGAAGATGTTTCATGCTAAACATCTAAGCTCTAGCTCATTGGGCTTTTTAAAAGAAGATTTTTTTTAAAGTTTTTACTATACACATATAGTTAAAAACAATGACACCCCTGGGGCCGGGCCAGTCTTGACCCCAGGGCTTTTATTTGAACAAACTTTGTAGACACTTACTAGAAGATGTTTCTTGCTTAATATCTAAACTCTAGCTATTTGGGTTTTTTTAAAGAAGACTTTAAGTTTTTGCTATACACATATAAAGAAAATCAATGACCCCGTGGCGGGGCCAATTTTGACCCCAGGTCTTTTATTTAAACAAACTTTGTAGACACTCACTAAAAGATGTTTCATGCTTAATATCCTAACTCTAGCTATTTGGGTTTTTTGAAAGAAGATTTTTTAAGTTTTTGCTATACACATATAAGGAAAATCAATGACCCCCGGGGCGGTGCCAATTTTGACCCCAGGGCTTTTATTTGAACAAACTTGGTAGACACCTATTAGAACATGTTTGATGCTAAATATCTTAGCTATAGCTCTTTGAGTTCTTTAAAAGAAGATTTTTAAGTTTTTACAATATGCATATAGGGAAAATCAATGACCCCCCGGGGCGGGGCCAATTTCGACCCCAGGGCTTTTATTTGAACAAACTTGGTAGACACTTATTAGAACATGTTTTATGCTAAATATCTTAGCTCTAACTCTTTTGGTTCTTTAAAAGAAGATTTTTTAAGTTTTTACAATATGCATATAGGGAAAATCAATGACCCCCTAAGGCGGGGCAAATTTTGACCCCAGGGCTTTTATTTGAACAAACTTGGTAAACACCTATTAGAACATGTTTGATGCTCAATATCTTAGCCATAGCTCTTTGAGTTCTTTAAAAGAAGATTTTTTAAGTTTTTACTATATGCATATAGGGGAATCAATGACCCCCCGGGGCGGGGCCAATTTCGACCCCAGGGCTTTTATTTGAACAAACTTGGTAGACACCCATTAGAACATGTTTGATGCTCAATATCTTAGCTCTAGCTCTTTGGGTTCTTTAAAAGAAGATTTTTTAAGTTTTTACTATATGCATATAGGGAAAATCAATGACCCCCCAGGGCTTTTATTTGAACAAACTTGGTAAACACCTATTAGAACATGTTTGATGCTCAATATCTTAGCCATAGCTCTTTGAGTTCTTTAAAAGAAGATTTTTTAAGTTTTTACTATATGCATATAGGGAAAATCAATGACCCCCCGGGGCGGGGCCAATTTCGACCCCAGGGCTTTTATTTGAACAAACTTGGTAGACACCCATTAGAACATGTTTGATGCTCAATATCTTAGCTCTAGCTCTTTGGGTTCTTTAAAAGAAGATTTTTTAAGTTTTTACTATATGCATATAGGGAAAATCAATGACCCCCCCGGGGCGGGCCAATTTTGTTCCCAGGGCTTTTATTTGAACAAACTTGGTAGACACTTATTAGAACATGTTTCATGCTAAATATCTTAGCTCTAACTCTTTTGGTACTTTAAAAGAAGGTTTTTTAAATTTTTACTATATGCATATAGGGAAAATCAATGACCCCCTGGGGCGGGGCCAATTTTGCCCCAAGGGCTTTTATTTTAACAAGCTTGGTAGACACCTATTAAAACATGTTTGATGCTCAATATCTTAGCCATAGCTCTTTGCGTTCTTTAAAAGAAGATTTTTTAAGTTTTTACTATATGCATATAGGGAAAATCAATGACCCCCTGGGGCGGGGCCAATTTTGACCCCAGGGCTTTTATTTGAACAAACTTGGTAGACACCTATTAGAACATGTTTGATGCTCAATATCTTAGCCATAGCTCTTTGAGTTCTTTAAAAGAAGATTTTTTAAGTTTTTACTATATGCATATAGGGAAAATCAATGACCCCCTGGGGCGGGGCCAATTTTGACCCCAGGGCTTTTATTTAAACAAACTTGGTAGACACTCACTAGAAGATGTTTCATGCCAAATATCTAAGCTCTAGCTCTTATGGTTTTTTAAGAGAAGATATTTAAAGTTTTTTCTTTCGGTTGCCATGGCAACCAGAGTTCTGCATGGAATTAAATTCTTTTAACAATTTTTAAAGGTGACCACCAAAGGAACATTCCTGTGAAGTTTGGATGAAATTGTCTTAGTGGTTTATGAGGAGATGTCATTTAAAGTAAAAGTTTACGGACGGACGACGGACGGACGGACGCCGAACAAAAAGCGATCACAAAAGCTCATCCTGTCACTTTGTGACAGGTGAGCTAAAAATAGAAACACGCAATTCTATAAATAGTAACATGCAATTTTAACAAGAGGGCCATGATGGCCATGAGGTCGCTCACCTGTATATAGGCCCCCGGAGCGGGGCCAGTTTAAACCCCAGGGATTTTATTTGAGCAAACTTCGAAGACACCCATTAAAAGATGTTTCATGATGTTAAGTTTTTAC